TTTTTAGGAGTGCTCCCATCTAGAGCAGTCCTTCTAAGATACCCTGTAGAGGTGTTTTGTGGGAGGCAAATTCCCTCAACTTTTGCTTGTCTGGGAATTGTTTAATCCCTCCATATTTAAATGATAATTGTGGTGGATACAGTATTCTTGGTTCAAGGCCCTTCTGTTCATTGCATTAAAGATGTCATGCCATTCTCTTCTGGCCTGTAACGTTTCTTTTGAGAACTCTGATGGTAGCTTGATGGGTGTTCCTTTGTAGGTGACCTTTTTCCTCTCTCTAGTTGCCTTTCAAACTCTGTTCTTGTCTTTGATATTTGCCATTTTAATTATTATGTGTCTTGGTATTGTCCTCCTTTGGTCCTTTCTGTTTGGAGTTTTGTGTGCTTCCGTGGTCTGAGCGAGTATTTCCTCCACCAGTTTGGTTAATTTTTCAGCCATTATTTCTTCAAAGACACTTTCTATCCCTTTTTCTCTCTCTTCTTCTGGTACCCCTATAATGCGGATATTATTCCTTTTGGATTGTTCACACTGGTCTCTTAATATTGTTTTATTCCTTGAGATTCTTTTTTCTCTCTCTGCATCATCTTCTATACATTCCTGTTCTCTGATTTCTGTTCCATCAAATGCCTCTTGCATCTTATCTATTCTGCTTATCAATCCTTCCAGAGATTGTTTTATTTCTGTAATCTCACTGCAGATGTCATCCCTTAGGCCTTGCATATTTCTCTGCCGCTCCATCAGCATGGTTATGACCTTTATTTTGAATTCTTTTTCAGGAAGAGTGATTGGGTCTATCACCTCAGGAGTTGACTCTGTGATTTTGGTCTGTATCAAATTCTTCTGCCTTTTCATGGTGATAGAGGTAGTTGTGCAGAGCTGGTGCATGTGTCGACTGGGAGAACATCCTGTCTTGCTGTGTTGTGGCCTTCCTCTCCTGGGAGAACAGCGACCTGTAGTGGCTTGTGCTGAACAGTTGCACGCAGACGGCACCTCTGTTTCTTTCCCAGCCGCTGTGGAGTTAAGCTCCACGGTTGCTGTGGTCGTGGTTGGCCTCAGTCTGCTCCTCTAATATGGCGGAGCTGCGTCCGAGGGGAACAGGTGGGAGGGTATTTATTGCCATGAGGAGCTTCTGAGCTGCGCTGCCGCCCAGGGGTTAGGGCACCTGTAGTTTCCTGGGATTCCAGCTGCTGTGCTGTGTCCTATCCAGCTGTGGGGTCCCTGTCCCTTTAACACTTTCAAAAAGCACTCGCTTTTCTTTGTCCCTGGGGTGCCAGCTGCGGAGATCTGCTCACAGGTCTTACTGTCCTGTTCCCCTCATTTCCAGCACCCACGCATGCACTGTGTGCCTGTGCTCTGGTGCAGATGGCTAAGGCTGGCTATTTAGGATTCCTGTGCTCCCTCCCCCTTCCCGCTCCGTCTCCTCTCCTCCTGCCACATCCTGGGGTTAGGGGCGCTCGGGTCCCACAGGGCCATGGCTTGTATCTTACCCCCTTCACATGACGCTGGGTTCTTGCAGGTGTGGATGTAGTCTGGCTGTTGTCCTGTGTCTTCTGGTCTCTCTTTTAGGAATAGTTGCATTTGTTGTATTTTTAAAAATATATATGGTTTTGGGAGGAGATTTCCACTGTTCTACTCATACTGCCATCTTGGCTCTTCTTGACCAGTTTCTTCTTAATTCTGGAGGCTTTAAGTCCCAGATCAAGGTGCCAGCAGGCCTCTCTCTTTGGCTTGCAGACAGCTTCCTTAAACTGCAGTCCCAGGCCATCTTTCTTCTCTGCTCCAGCTGATTTCTTTTTAATGTTCCTTAAAATCTTGGGTACTGGGAGTCCTGTAGTTGCTTTCCCTAGTGTGGTGCTGAATCCTCAAGTTTGTGTCATTTCTCTGTCCCAGAATCAGGTCTACTCTTGAATGTATTGGCAGTTGAATTTGTTGGGAACCAGCCCTGGTTTCGGATGATGTGTGTAGGTGAGCCATGTATAGCATCAGGTTCCCGTGGGTCAGTTGGTGGGATCTATAGGCCAGGCATCCCCAGCAGTTTGTGGTGGTTTAAGTGGAGTCTTAATTTCTTGCAAGAACCCTGACTTTTGTTCTCACAACTTCTCCCTGCAATCTGGTCATGCAGCAAAACTTCAGTTATTCTCTGTGGGGTGAGAAAGCAATGGATCTCTTGGAGCATCCTGCACAACTGGGAAAGCTGGGCACTAACTCACATTTTCTCATTTTCCCCATGGGAGAAATGTGGGCCAAACAGGACTTTCTGGGCACTGAGCTATGCTGCCTTGGAGGAGGGGTGACGAGGATAAAGTGAAACTGCCTGTCTACCTTCCTTAGTCTGTTCAATCTTGGATTTCTTTTTTGTCCCCTTAATAGTGCTGGAATTTCTCTGCTGGCCTCTTGTCCACAAATGCTCTCTAACCTGTGTGTGATTGTCTAATCAGTGTTCTTTGAGGCCAGGACAGTAGAAAACTCTTACTCAGGTGTGATATTCCAGGCTGAACTTTTGCTAGAGTTAATGATACTGACTTTTGTAGGGAAACTAGAAGACACTTTAAATAACAAATCACTTGTAATCCTTATGTCTTAATTTCATAAGATTTTATTTAATTAAAAATTATAATTTCTTGCAGTAAATTTTTGCATTTATTCTTTTATAGTAAAAAAAAAAGGAAAAGAAGTACAAAACCAGAGAGTTTGGGGAAAGAGGTAGTAGTAAAAACTTAACTTAGCTATGTACATTTTCCATTTTCTGTGGTTGAAAAATAATTATTAATATAGCCATCATGAATTATTTTGAATATGTCATAAGATCTGCTGTTTCTTGAAATGAATTGGGTATGTGTCAGAAGTGACAAGTTAGAAATTACAGCTGAGTTTCTTACATATTTACTTAAGGAACTTGTGGTTTAATGTCTGAGCAATAAACATAAGTAACCATGACATACGTTAAAAATTACAAATAAGAAGGAAGGACAAAGTGCTATGGAAATTCAGAGGAGGCAGGATTTGTTTCTAGCATTTTCTTTTTGCATGTATGTGGGAAGATGAATAAAGGCAGAGATGATGTGGAAAGACATTTCAGGCAGGAAAAAGCCAGAACCAAGTATACGTTTTGGGTTTTATAGACATGTATTTTTGTTTGTCAGAGGGACAGAAACAGGAAGGTGGAGGAAGGGTGTAAAAATGAGTGAATGGAAATTGTGAGAATAATGAAAGGTAGTTGGCTAGATCTTACAGGATTGAAGACCAAGAATTTTATTTGAAGTCATTAGGGAGCCATTAAAACTTTCTGAATAGATGTCTGGCATCATTTAAAGTATGCTTTAGAAATTCATTTTCACATGTGTTAAAATGTACCGAAGATTTTCTACTTAGGCATGGTAAACATCAGTTACAAAAATTGTAATGAGAGAAGTTTATACTTACAGATGAAAGTGGGGAGAGAAAGCATGCCATTCATTCCATGAAGGGCCACAAAAGGGAAGAACCAGAGTTGGTCAGGAGTCATGGCCCAGAGCCTTAAGGCTTCTGGTGGGAAGAAATGGGCACTGTGCTAAGCTCAAGATTGTATAATGTAAGTAATTATAGAGGTCTTTGAAAAGGGACTGTGCTTAGTTGTTTGGTACTTGGCCATGCTTATTTCCAGGAAGGTGTGGCATGTTGGCTTGGTATGTAGTTGGATGGTTAGCTGTGGGGGTGTAATTGGATCATTTCTTTATCAGCTTGCACCAGCAGAGAAGTGTTTGCTACCTCTAGGAGTTGGCTAACTCTGGGAGGGCCTGCCTTTCCATTCCAGGATCTAGGCCTTAAGTGACAGAGCATGAATGTAGAGAATATCCTGTATTACTTGAAATTTTAACAAGAAGTTTATGTTTTGTATATTGTCAGCAAAAATGAACAAGATTAAAGAAACTGCACCTGATACTACTGTTGAATATGCTTTTAGAAAGTGAGAAAGTGGAGATAGGAAAGCCAGCTAATTTTGTGTAGTGCTTAACAATGTAAGTAAATCATTGCCCCTGGTAAACCTCCCCTTCTGTTCCCTCTCTCTACTCACTTGCCTTTCAAGCATGTACTAGATTCTTTGTATTTTAACTTTTTTGGTGTTGGGAGTTGGGACTGGTTTTTCTTCAGCTGCCCTTGCTAACTAAGTCATATTTGCTAAATGACATTATTCAGCTCTTATGTTCATATATTATAGTTTTAGTCAGCAGGAGAGCAAAAGAGGGAGAACTTTTGCTTATGGTTTCATACATCTTACAGATGGAAATTTAATTTTATTGTGCTCAAAGATAAATTTATTTTTTGCTTTTTCATAGCTGGTACCAATTCAGCTGTGTCCTGGGAATGTAAATATACTATGAGAAGTATTTCTGCAGTCAGAAGGTCAGTTAAGGAGGTCATTGTAAGCTGTGCAGAAATTTAAAAAGAGTGTTTACCATTGTTATGAACTTTGAATTTTTATCATTTGGTAATTTATTAGAAGGATTGCAGAATACTTTAAGATATAATAAAATCTTGCCGAAAGTCTCCTAGCACTCTGCAAAATTCATTAAAGTTGAACCTCAAAGAGTTATTGGGCTGTTGATGGACAGGAGGCAAGAGGGAGTCTTCTGGAGTTTAAGAAATGTTCTATATTCTGAATCTGAATAATGGTAATACAAGTTTACATACATGTATGTGTGTGTGTATGTATATGTATTTATCAAGATTAAACACTTAAGATTTGTGCAGTTTATAAAGTAGTACCATAATTAAAACAATCAAAATCCTCCAACATCACTAGCCTTTGGTGTTAGCTGCTCTTATGCTGTGACTCCCCATGTGTCATAGGAAATCAGTGTGTTTGTTTTTATTTTACATTGATTTTTTGATAAGTTAAGAGATTTGAACATTTCAGAAATGTAATTATGGCATTTTAAATATGTGGTGTAAAAATAATTAATGTTTGGTATACTTTATTCCTTGGTTTTAGGAGCTGTGACTAATGAGAATCAAAGGCCATGGATGAAGATGAACTTGAGTTGCAGCCGCAAGAGCCAAACTCATTTTTTGATGAAATAGGTATACCTGTTTCTCAGGTTATTACACTTTCAATCATCCAGATTGGAGTTACTTACACAAAGATGAATTGCTAGATCTTACATTGATTCATACTTGGGGTATTTTGTTATCCTGTCAAAATCTCACAGCCAACTCATATTCTTGTCAGTAACACCATCAATTATTAATATCTATTATCTTTAATTATTCTTTTTCCCTAGTAATCCTCTAAGTCCTATTAGTCCTCCCTTTGAAAATTTTTATTTTTTCTCCTTGTATTTTCTATTGTGTACCACTTCATTTCCACATATCTAGTGATCTAAAATAGTGCCAGTTTGTAGGTCATTGTGGCTCAACTGGGTTCTCTGTAGTTTCACAAAGCTAAAACCAAACTGTTGGCAGAGTTGCACTCCTTTTTGGAGCCTCTGAGGAGGAATCTTCTTTCAAAAACATTCGTGCTTTTGGCCAAACTTCGTTCCTTGTGGTTTTAAAATGGAGATTCTTGTTTCCCTATTGCCTGTTAGGGCCATTTTGCAGGCAGTCCATGCTATGCATGTGGTTCCTTCTAGTTGTAGCAATTGAGTCTTTCTCATGTTTTGGGTCTTTTTGCCATTTCCTTCCAATATCTCCTTGATTCCAGTCAGAAGCCCACCTAAGACAATCTACCTATCTAACCCCAAAACCTTAGTTATAGCTGCATGGTTTTATTTTAACCGTGTCACATAAGGTATTTACAAGATCCAGGAATTTGGGTTTAGATATCTTTGAGATACCATTCGGCCTCATTGTCTGCATTCTGGTCCCCAACGATTTATGTCCCTCCAAATGTAAAATCTGTTCTCTGTTCTCTCTCTCTCTTGAGGTTCTCAGACTTTTAACATCCAGAATTCCCATCTGAAATAAAGCAGTTTAGAAATCTCTAATACCATCTAAATCATGTATTGATAATACTCTGGGTATAGTAAGTTAAGTACAATTCCTGACACAATTCCACTTCATCTGTGGATCTGTAAAGGTAAAGAAAAGTTAGCTATTCCCAACATAAATAATAGAACAATTTTTGAATATTCTGGTTCAAATAGGATGAAAAGGAAGGTAAAATGGAGTTAACAGCCTCAAGAAGTTTTGAAGGCCTGCTGGGTAGACTCCATTAGATTTCAAGCCCTGGGAATCCTTTGGGGAATCATGGCTCCTCTCTCTGAATCATCCTTGCTAGCGAAGATAGCAGCCGTTTTTAGCTGAGTTACTTTTTGCAGCCTGCTTCCTATCTCTACAGTTTGGGAGTCCCAACAGTGTTCTATTTATATTTTACTTTCTCTGTCCCTTTCAGTCCAAGCCACCAGTACAAGCTAGCATTGTGCATAGTGGCATAAATTGTTTAAAGAATTTGTTCATCTTGTGTGTCATCAAAATTTACTTCTTTCGACAGATTCATTTACATACCTTTCAGAGATAATTCTATCTCTTTTTGACTTCTTAGGTGATGATTTGGGGGTAATGCCCTTAAGGTCCTCCACAGCACTCTAATCTGTTGAGGTTATCTGTCAGGCACACCCTTAATAGCCTCAAAGAGACATATAACTGAATTCTCAGACCTTTTGTGTTTTTTTTTTGAGATTTCAGGGATTTATAGAACCATATAGTACGTTTTCTCTTTAACAGCCTTTCTGGACTTTAAATACCCCTAATTTCAACTTTTTTTTCCTTTTTTGCTATCTGTATGGGCTGAGAATTTCCCAAATTGTTAAGTCCTGCTTACTTTGTTGATGTTTCTTCTTACAATTTGTCTTTTTATTTTGAATTTAATTGTAAGAAGAAACTAGGTCACTCTTCTGCACTGCTAAAACCTCTATGAGTTTATTGTCATGCTTTCCATAACTGGAGGATACAGTTTTGCTGACCCAACTGCCAACAACATAACAGGGATATTCCTTCCATTACTTTTCAGTAACACGTTTCTCAGTTCTTTTTGGGGGCTTATTAAGCAGGGATCTTATGACTGGACATGGTGACTTAGGTACTCTGAGTCCATAGAGGATTTCTTTACCTCGGTTGTTTTTCTTTCTGGATTCTGACTAGCATGAACTGCTAACATCCATATTCATACCTAGTGTTCTATTCAAGGGAATTTCATATTTTAGAGCCACTTTACCTTACATTTTACTTATTTTGTACAGCAGTGTTGCACTCTGTGATACCAAAATCTATATTCCTTTCTATTACTGCACCAAAAATTAAGCAAATTTAGCAGTTTAAAAATAGTAAAATTTATTGTCTTATTGAAGTCTGGCATGGCATGACTGAGCTTTCTGCTTTAAATTTGAAATGTCTAAAATCTGACAAATCCTGACATAAGATACAGGCAGAGGGTTCTTTCTTTCCTGGACTCTGGATGTGATTCCAGTTCTAAGCTAATTCATGTTTTTAGCTGTATTTACTTCCTTATAGTTGTAGGTTTAAGGTTCCCATTTCCTTGCTTCTGCCAACTAAAGGGACTGGTCTTTGCTCTTTGCAGCTGCTGTGTTCTTTCTCATGTTTTCCAGGTGAAAGCAAGAATGAATTGAGTTTCTCAAACTTAAAATTCTGCTTCAGTTCTCTGACGCTATTGGGGGAAGTTCTATGCTTTAAGGGTTCATTTGATCAGATTGGACCCACCCAGATTATTCAGTGTAATCATCCTGTCTTAAAATTCATACCTTAATTACATGTTCAAAGTCCTGATAAGCTGTCATATGACATAGCCACAGTTCCTGTGACTGTGGCATGGACACCAAACAAGGCAAGGCAGGTTAGAGTGAATTGGGCTTGAAAGTCTGTTTACAATACTGTTCATTATGCCAGTTCCTAACTCTTAGTCTTGGCACTGTTGTCACATTCTGAGTTTCTAATAGTAAACTGTTTCTCTTTTCTTTCTTTTATCTTTGACAGCATAGAGTAATTATCCTAAAATAACACATAAATCATGTCATTTCTTTGTTCTTCTTCACCCAGGAAATAATGGAATATAAACTCAAGGCCCACAGCATTTTGATTGTGTGTCCTGCTTTATAACCCTGTTTCTCAAAAGACTTCCTTAAAAGAACCTTATGCATCAGACAGGTGGAATCTTATCTCATTTTCTAGCTGTCCAAGGAAAATTATATTCATGAAGTTCTAACAATGGAAAAAAAGTATAATTTCAGATTACTCATTGCTCTTAAGTACACAATGTTGTAAAGTAACTGTATCAGATTTATAATGTAAAATTGCTAACTATTGCATAGCTACTCTTAGAATTTAACATTTTAATGACTATACACATTGAATTTTAAATAGTCCTGTTGCTATGTGATATAGCGTAGGAAGCAACTCTCAAGAAACCGTATTCTTAATATGCTTTCTGATTAAATCCAGTGTGTGTGTGTGTGTGTGTGTGTGTGTGTGTGTGTGTGTGTTTGTGTGTGTGTGTGTTATGCAATTTTTGGGATAGTCTTCACTCATGTTTGGTAGTTTCAGTTTGAAAATAAATGGAAAATTATAATTCTTTCTTTCCTTAAATTTAGTGAAGTTTAATTAATGTGCTTGAAATAGAGACTAGGTTCTTTGGAGAAAAACTCAACAGTGTTTACTAGATTAATCTTGCCACATATAAGCCTGGGTCATTGACTTAGTGGTAGATTGAAGTGCTGTTGCATTTTAGCCCTGATTCCTAACACTTAGGGTTTTCATTCATCTTTGAGCAAGTCACTTAATCTGCCAGGGCCTCTGTTTTCATATGTTCTAATAATAATGAAACTTCTCATTACAGTGTTTCAGAACACTTTGCATACATTCTTATTTGATCTTCAAAAGAGTCTCATGAGAAAAATGTGGCAGATAACTTCTGTCCTCATTTTACTGACACAGACACTGAAAGGTTAAATGACTTGTCCCAGGTAACAAAATGAGTAAGGGTCCCAGACTTTCTCTCTGAATTAGACCTCTTAACCCATGCTTTTGCCATAACTTTTATTTATGTTTGTAACTTTAACATTTATGTTTGTAAAATAGAGATGAAAGTGATAATTGCTTCATGTGAATTATTTTACAAACATCAAAGACAAATGCTTTTAAAGCATTTTATAGAATTATTCTGTATAAATGAAAGAAAAACGATTTCTATGGATGATTTCAGTGACTATTAACTTACTTTAAAGTAAAGACTATCTACAACTTTTACTTCTCCTTGGCCCTTGGTAATTCTTGTTTGTTGAGGAATCTGTGTGTTTCTCTTGTGGCATGTTACACACAGTCATTGAGTTAGGCTCCTGCGCACTTACCTGCTTAGAAACGTAAGCCGAGCAGTGATCGACTGAGTATCTTGTTAGTTAAGACTTTCATGTTTACTTTTCTCTGGATCAGGACCCAAGATAATAGATCTGTTATATTTTATCTTTTCTTCTGTTTTTGATAAGACTTATTTGTACTCCCACTCATAGCATTCATTGAATAATATTTATTGAGCACTATAATCTGTGCAATCTTGGGATCTCACTGAGCCCCAATTGACTGACCCTTCTACTTTCATTCCTTAACTGCAAGGTTAAGTAGGGCATTTGTATTGTAAGAAACTGTCTGGGGGATTGTAATGTGGGACAATAGAAGGAAGCTAATTGCTGATGAAGTTGAGGTAGGTCCCACTTAAACCAACTTCATCCTGTACTGCACTAGAGCAGTTGTGCTTTTACTCATCTTATCTATACAGAGGTTAGTTGTCTTTCTTCCTGTCTCCTTAACTGCACCCTCCTAGCCCTCTATTTATGACCCAATTTTTTATATCCTAGATTCAGAGGATAATTTCTAAATATCGTCATAAATGGAGGTTGCTGGTGGACTATTACACTAAAGTAGAGTGGGAAGATTATAAAGTGTGAAAGAAAAAGAAAGGAAAGAAAAGAAATGTGGAGATGTAATGAAGAAAATATTGATTTGAGACAGTTGGAGAGAAATGAAATGGAACTGATATGAAAGAAAATTACCAATTTTGAATTTGTGTTACTTTTAAAATTATCCTTTAATATTTCATCTTAGTTCTAAAAATTTTTCATGAGTATTTCTCTTCTGTGTCTGCCCCATTTTTTTTCTTTTCCTAGTATTTCTTGACCTACTAGTTGACTACAGTTGAGTAAAAAGATTTTGTGTTAAAATTTTCTGTTTCTTAAAAGTAGATTCTTGCTTTATTTCCTTAATTTAATGTATGAGAAAATTGAGGATATAGGCTGTTTTTCTGGTGGATGTTAAATAACTTTTATATTATTTGAGATAGTCATGCGTGCCTTCCTGAAGTTTGTGATTTTGATTTTTGTTTTTTGAAGGAACTGATGCTACACACATGGATGGTGATGAAATTGTTGTGGAAGTTCAAGAAACAGTTTTTGTTTCAGATGTTGTGGATTCAGATATAACTGTACATAACTTTGTTCCTGATGACCCAGATTCAGTTGTAATCCAAGATGTTATTGAGGATGTTGTTATTGAGGATGTTCAGTGCTCAGATATATTAGAAGAAGCAGATGTATCTGAAACAGTCATCATTCCTGAGCAAGTGCTGGATTCAGATGTAACCGAAGAAGTTTCTTTAGCACATTGCACAGTCCCAGATGATGTTTTAGCTTCTGAAATTACTTCAGCCTCAATGTCTATGCCAGAACATGTCTTGACAAGGGAATCGATACATGTGGCTAACATTGGACATGCTGATAAACATGTTCATGATAGTGTAGTAGAAGCAGAAATCATCACTGATCCCCTGACAACTGATGTAGTTTCAGAAGAAGTATTGGTAGCAGATTCTGCCTCTGAAGCAGTCATAGATGCCAATGGGATCCCTGTGGACCAGCAAGATGATGACAAAGGCAACTGTGAGGACTACCTTATGATTTCCTGTAAGTGTTGGGGTACAGTGATTGTCAAAGGTGTTTTGAAGGCTGTCTTGTCTTAAATCAGGGTGATATTTTCTTAACCTAACCTTACATAAAATTAAGATAAATTTATAAGCCATGTGCATTGTTTTAATTTGAAACCTATAAAATAAACCATAATTAATAAAGGTGAAGTGGTACAAGATAAAGAGTAATTTCACATAAGGATGGAATAGAAAGATAAAGGCTAAAAAGAATAGGATTAATCTATGATCAGGCTGTTACCTGCCTTACCAGAATTACTATTAAAACTTGAAATTCGAATTTCAATTTGAAGAGAATTTTTTTGTCTTTACTGCATAGTCAATTGCTATCTTTCTTCCACACTTCCACACCAGGAGTAATAATCTTATTCAAAGTGATGTTTGGAACTACATTAGTTTAAAGCCTTGAAATAAAGTAATTATTTGCAAGATTAAAAACAAATAACTTCAGGTTGATTAGAAATGTAATATTCCACTCACTATTCCTTATGAGATGGTTTTCCATATGCTGGCTTTCTAGTTTGTGTTACTTTAACAATCAGGACATTGTTAGATATAATTTTGCTTAGGTAGCAGTTGTCGTAACAGTCTTCTTAGTAGAATCTCTGTATAGATGTCTCTGACCTTTCTGACTTCAGTTTTTAGATGTATTCTCTACCTTAATTGAGTTTCATTTTGTTATCTAGCCTCATCATCTGCCTGCTAGTTTAAGTAACTAAGTTATCTCAATCACTAGCTCATAGGCCTACTAAGGTCTTGGGAATCCAGTTTAATAATATAGGTAGAGTTTTGAGTGTTAACCAAAACTAAGTACAAGTCTGTTTCTCTTGAGTGTCTTTGGGCAAAGCACTGCAGGAATTGGTGGGCAGAGAGACAAGGCATTCATTTACCTCTTATAAGGACCAAAGTATACCAACACTTCCCAACTTTATGACAATAACTAGCTTAATAACTGTCAAGAGCCTGGTTCTGTTAATTTAATAAACATTCATTGAATTCATTCTCTGTATAAAAGCTTGTTCTAGATAAAGTGTTGAGGCACTTATTAATAATTTACAGTGTTGAGCTTGTAATCTATTTTGAAAGATGGGTGGGATTGCTATTTTTTGTAACTAATGTAGGATTTAATTTTAATATAAACTTAATTATTGATTTTTTTTTTTTACAAGATAAATTTAGATGGTGATTTCCATTTTCTTGGTACCCTTTTTTTTTCTTCCTTCTAGGAAAGGTACTGCCTTTAAGGCTGCATTGTAACTTAAAAGTTCTTCAGAGAAGAAGGGTAGAGGGAACCTATTTAGAACTGACGGATTTTTGTTACTATGTAGAGGAATTATGTACAGGAAGTACCAAAAAATACCAGAGTTATTACTGAGTTATCACTAAGGCAATAGATGCAGTTAGGGCAAACAATAGACTTTGTCACCATAAAACTTAGGAAAAGCTTTAGATTGAGATGTCCATGGTGGCTTTGAAAAGTTGAAACATACTCCTGGGGATCTTGAATGTGATAATGCCCAGGGTCATGCCCATGCTAAGTAAAGACTGGCAAGGCCTGAAGCTCAGACTTTCGGTTAACCTTGAAGGTCATCTCAAGTAGGAAGTAAAAGCCAGTGTGGAGTATAAAACTGGCTGAATGCTGAAGATGTGTTTCAACATGCACACAGATCTCCTTTGCAGATTTTGGAAAAATTACTGGTTCTACCCATGTGTGGAAATCTTGCTCCAGTCAACAGCTGAATTTTTACCTAACTAAGCAGACACTTGAGTGGCTGCACAAAGAATACAAACTATGAAATTAGTTCATTAATGTCACTAAATACAGCAGCAACAAGAGACCCCGGGGAAAGGGAGAATCTTAATTCGAGAGTTGCCACATTAAGTAAAAAATCTTAAGTTTTTGGCCAAATTATGAGACATGCAAAGAAACAAGATATCAAGACTGAAACACAGGAAAAAGTACAGTAAATAGAAACTCAAACTGAGGAACTTCAGACAAAGTTACTAAAAGATTTTAAATCAGCTGTTTTAAATTTGTTCAGAGAGGTAAGGAAACTGTAAAGAATAAAAAAAGGAAAATATGAGAATGATGTCTCTCACCATATACAGATTATCAATAAAGAGAAATTAAATAAAAAGAAGCAAATAGAAATTCTGGGCTCAAAAATTACAGTACGCAAAGTATTTCATAAATGGAGCTCCAAAGTAGATTTGAAAATGCTACAGAAAGAATCAGCAGACTTGAAAGTAAACATCAAATGATACTATCCAGCCTAAGAAGGAAGCATGAATGAAGAAACTTGAATGTAGCAACATACACTGATGGAACACTGTCAAACACACTAATATACACAGTGCCAGAGGGGAAGAAAGATTGAAATGGACTGAAAGTATTTCAAGAAGTAATGGCTAAAAACTTTACAAATTTGATGGAAAACAGTAATTAGACATACAAGATAATAAATTCCGTGGACTTCTTAATTATTAAAATGCAAAAACAAATCTTGAAAGCAAGACAGAACTGACTCATCACATTCAAGTAATCCTTCCTCAAAAGGATAATGTTTTCTGATCAGAACACATGAAAGTTAGAAGGGATGATATATTTAACCTTTTGAAGGAAAACAGACCGGTAGCTTAAGAATTCTATGTCTAGCTAAAACTAAAAATGAAGGAAACATTTAAATATTTTCAGATAAACAAAAACATCTGCGTTAATCCAGATTCTGCTCTTTTGGCATAAGGGCATACATATACTATAGAGCAGTGTTGTGAGTCCAGAAGTAAACTTACACATCTGTGGTCAATTGATTTTTTAGCACAAGAGTGTGAAGGTAGTTCAAGAGAGAGAGAATAGTCTCCAACAAGTGAATTTGGGATAACTGATGTCCATATGTAAAACAATGAATTTGCGCCACTACCTCAGAACATACATAAAATAAGTTAAAAAGGTCAAAGATTTAAATGGAGAAGGTAAAATCCTAAATCTTTTAGAAGGAAACAGGTGTATTTTTGATGTGCTAAAAGCACAAAACAAAAAATAGCAACCTTTGTCATGTTTGAAAATGATGTTGTTTCAAAAAGTTAAAGTGAGAAGAAAACTCAATGGAATATATGTAAAGCATATATATTTATATAGTCTAGAAACCATAATAAAGAAGAACTACAACTTAGCAAAAAAAAGACCAGTACAGTTTAAAGTGAAGAATTTCATGAAGACATTTCCCCAAAGAAGAAAGCACATGAAAATGCTCAGTGTGATTAGTCATTAGGGAAATGAAATTGAAAACCAGAATGAGATACCACTTCAGACATACTCAGATCAGTATTTAAAACATGGAAAATAAGTTTTGGTAAGATTGGGAAGGTTTGGGAACATTCATAAATTGCTGGAGGGAATAGAAAATTATGTAGCCATGTTGGGAAATCTGGTATTTCCTGAAAAAGTTAAACATAGATGTACTGTTTGACCCAACTGTTCTAAGTATATACCCAGAAAAATTGAAAACATACCCATACAACAGTTTTTACTGTTCATTGCAGGATTAATAAGTTATTTTTCCAAAATAATGTAAAAACCCTAATGCTCATTAGTTGATGAACTGATCTTAAAAATGGGGTAGGTATCATCATACAATGGAGTAAAAAAAAGGAATGAAACACTGATACATGCTACTACAACATGGATGAGCTTTGAAACTTAGGGATATGTGGAATGTATAGAATAAGCATATGTCTATAAGGAAAAATAAATCAATGGTGGCCTAATCTAACTATAGGATAGGTTCAGGAATAGAGTTAGTTAAAGGATATAGAAGTGTCTTTATGGGGTAATGGAAGTTTTCTGGAATTTGATAGTGATGATGGCTGCACAGCTATAGATATACTAAAAATGGACCCTTTGTACAATGTAAAAGGTGAATGTTACATATTTGAATTTTATCTCAATATTCAAAAAAGAATGTTTGGAATTATCTGAGGCAATTCACTGTCACAAGAATTTAACAAAGTAAAAAACAAGTCATAATCATAGTTATATTCTGTAAGGATAAAAAATAAACATAGTCACACATCAAAACAGTGCCGTAAGATTAGTACCTCAGTGTCTAAAAATTCTTAGGACACTGTAGCCTAAGAATTTCATGCAAGCCAATTTACTCTTAAGTCAAAGTTACATGTAAGTCATCTTGGGTATCCAGGATTTTAGAAACATTAACATGAGTAGTGGAGTTGCTCTTTGGTAATAAAACATACAAATAAAATGACTCAGTAAAAAGGGCTCAAGAATGGATGAACTGATAATGATGACTGATACTGATCTTGATTTAAAACTAGGCCAAACATTTGTACACACTGTTTATACAATAAAAAGTAATTACCTCCAAAGTTTTTACCATAAAATATTTCATATAGCATGTTGTGTGTGTTAATTTCTCCCTCTTTCATGCAGATGATGGTAAATACTGCATTTAAAACACAATTGCAGTCTTTTTTTTTTTTTAGATTGATTTTTTTTTTTTTGGGAGGGCATCTCTCATATTTATTGATCAAATGGTTGTTAACAACAATAAAATTCTGTATAGGGGGATCAGTGCTCAATGCACAATCATTAATCCATCTCAAGCCTAATTCTCGTCAGTCTCCAATCTTCTGAAGCATAACGAACAAGTTCTTACATGGTGAACGAATTCTTACATAGTGAATAAGTTCTTACATGGTGAACAGTGCAAGGGCATTCATCACAGAAACTTTCAGTTTTGATCACGCATTATGAACTATAAACAATCAGGTCAAATATGAATATTCGTTTGATTTTTGTACTTGATTTATATGTTGATCCCACATTTCTCCTATTATTATTATTATTTTTATTTTTAATAAAATGCTGAAGTGGTAGGTAGATGCAAGATAAAGGTAGAAAACATAGTTTAGTGCTGTAAGAGGGCAAATGTAGATGATCAGATGATCAGGTGTGTGCCT